CAGCATTCAGCCAATTGTGGTGGGCCGACCACAGCGACGCTTTCGATCACCCCCGTCGCCAATATCATGGAAAAGTGGCGTCATTCGTTGTTGTAGAAATGCTCGAGGCCCGTGCTGCGCGCCACTTCTGGGAAATTCATGGCGTCTAAAAACTAGCTCAGTGCAGCTGTGCTGCGCTGTACCACCATGAACTTCCCAAGAGCTGCACGTTGCACGTGCCTCTTGCATTGACGAACCTTGCGCTACTTTTGATTCACACATGCAGCGGAGCGCTACAAGAATAGCGCTGACCTTGCGTTAAGCGCGTGCGATGGGAGCGTTCACCAGCTTGGTATCGCACAGTCAAAACTGCTGCTCATGGCAGCCGATAAGTTGCTGGCGACACATGAGCAGCGCTGTATAAGCGCTTCGCCGCATGTGAGAACCGGCCTTAAGAGTATTCACAGCCCGCACAATCTAGACAGCAATTACTTTAACGCGGCGTAGGGATGTATGAACACGAGGGCGCGACGGTATTCAATGCAGCCGTTCAATCGGCGGGACCCACGGTGTTGCTCTCGCGCGCTCCGATAAAGCTCGCTACTACTTTGTGTTTCACATTCTCGCTGGAATTTGAGCACCGAGAGAGTTTGGATGATTGACATCTCGTCCGGCGTGACGCCATCGTCGCGAGAGTCCAATGAGCACGCTCTGCGAACTTCGGCTCCAACTTTGGGTTTGACAAGTTTAGCGACCGAAGTGTTTCTAAACTTGACTGATTTCATAGCTTTTGGTGACGCTCAGCACGTTTGCCATGAACCTCTTCAGGAACGAGCGCCGTCTGCGGAGTTGTCTTCGAACTATACAAATTAAAGTCAGCTCAACTTGCCTCCGCCCGTCATAATAGATTGGCATCGTGCCTTTGTAGAGGTCTTCGTTGCCTTTCATGCCCCGTGCTAGCGCACACTCAAACAAGAATGTCCAAAATAGACGAAATACGCGCAAAGATAGGTGCTGAATATGTTGGTCAGCCTGAACTTTGCCCTGCAAAAATGGTAACAGCGGGAAGCAAGACCAGGAGAGGGAGTGTACGCAGGCGCAGAAGCTTACTGTGAAAAGGTGCATCTGGCCCACGTTTATCTTCTTTATTTAAAAAGTTATGTAACTAGTTTTAGTTAATTAACCGCTGCTTATTGTGACAATCAGCCCCAATCTCATGCGTCCCTAATTTATTTTAAGTGTTCAACAATTCTTCTCATTGTAATATATATTACTCGTAAAGAAAAATTTTGCAACATTATATTTAACTGTGCGCGGACAGATTCTTACGACAAAAATTCTTGACAGTTATTTTTTAAGGCGGTTAATAAATACATCGTAGAGTTTCTTTATTTGTTGAAACAAACCAAGCAAGTTGGAATAGAAGCTAAAAGACCGTCGTGTTGACGCTGGAATACCTTATTCAAAAATCTACGACCTCGAAAATCTAAATGTTTCACTTTCTCGTGCCTTAGACATCGCACTGAGATCTGGCATAGGTGTGAGTGCTAGCAGAAAATACATCTTTCTCTCAGTCAAATTTTAACTACTCTCATATCTCATGAAGCCGTTCACAGATAATAAGTTGTCTTTACACGCTGTGCAAGTTTTTAATGCTTCCGCAACAATGTACTTACTATTCATAACGTTTTACTCAGTAGCGGGTGAAAAAAAAAAAAAAAAAACAGACCCGTTTCAGAATTCTATCAAGCAACATTGGCGGTCGTCATTGCTTGGACACGTAGTGTGTGATCGGATCCGAATTCTCGCCGAACGCTGACTGAACCCTCGTGCCCAGTACAATGCCAGAGTACGTGACCAAGCGGTGGTGGACAGAGGATGGCGCGGACATTTTGAAAAAAGTTTATTAAGCTTAGCAAAAAAAAAAAAAAAAAAGTCTCGCTGCAGCTTCCCCTTTTCCGTTAGAACAATGGTAAGCAGCAGTGCTGCTGCGCTGGTTTTTCCTCTTCGATATTCACCAGTCACGTCTGAGAGAGGCTGGTCCTGTATGTTGTGCTTGTGCCGTCGAAGAAGAATCCATTTCGCACCAGGCATCCGCGATATGCAAACACGTGGTATTACAGGAGGCATTCACTACTGTTTCGTTGGAAAGGAAAGATTGTGATTTGACGCTCGCGTCATGTTAATCCTAGGTTTGACGAGTGCACACATTTATTTGTCGGACTAAACGGAGTGGAATAGTTCGATTATTAGTATACGTAGCTTGCACGTGACGTCCTATGGCACCGTACCAGCCGTCATTGCTCCGTACCATGCATGTGCTCTTGTGCCGTACCTTCCGCTGCACGCATTTCGTGCTATCGAATTTGTTCTCCAGAGCAATCCTTGCCGAGAAGAACAAAGCCGATTATGCCAAATATATCCTGCAGAAGGTACGGGCACAGGAGCATGCTGCGGAGCAATGGCGGCTCATCTGACGTCAATGCAAGCCATCTTAACTAAATGCCTTAGTATTTTTTTTTTTTTAATTTTCATTCGCATTGGATGCTTGCATCCGATTCGATTCACCACGGGAAGCGTGACAGGCCTTCTTTTGTCCGGTACTGAGATAGTCGACGGGCAGTTAATGGGCACCTCCGTTTAATGTTTCAACCGAAACAAATGAATTGAACCGGTTTAGTGAGATAGGATATGATGAAAATTAAAATATTACGTGAAATAAATGTTGGGATCCCAACCTGAAAGCAGTTTTGAAATAGAAACTTTCGATTCATAGCGAGCCACCAACGGGCAAGCTGCGGCACAGTCACACCGCGCAAAGTTTCGTCCCTTTCGTGTAGTCCGCCCTTTTCCGTTGCCATCAATACTGAGCGCTGCGTCTCGATTGTTCGCGCGCACGGCCGTCCAGCTTCGTATGCACTGCAATTTTGAAAGGACGTGGCTTGTGCGACGCAGCCAATCAAATCCACTGTGACACTGGAGGATAACCATTATCTCCGCCACTCAAAGATCCCGTTCTTTCGGTGTCGTCGACAATTTTCGAAATCATACTTTGAGATAAAATATCATTGCACTGTAAATACGATCCTACCCCGTAGTTCAGGGACCCCGGCTGTGCTTAAAATAGTCGTAACCGACAACTTGAAAAATTGAGCGGAGCCACGAAATGGCATGTAACGTGGTCATGCAATCAACAAGATATAACCATGGTAAGCTTTACGAAGGGCTTCCAACCCACAATAATTGCTTCAAATATCCCTTCTTCCCCCGAGCTATCAACGAATGGAATCGCTTGCCGAGAAACATTGTACATTCCACTAGTGTAGAGCAGTTTCTCATTTACTTGGAAGCGCACCTGTCGACATAGGCTTGCATACCATTATCTTCAAATGTGTATTATAAAAAAATCTTTCTGTATGATATACCACCCTACAACAAGCCCGAACGGGATTAGTAGTACTGGAAATAAATAAATAAAATAAAAAAATGCAGCTATACAGGGAAGGGTGTCTCACCCCATGAGATTACAGTGTTTTTATCACTGCAAAAATAAGCTACACTTCGTCGGACGCTCATTTTCCGCCCCAAATGTACCCCTAGCCTTCCGAACCAGGGGTGAAAGTTTTAGAACTAACTTTTACATTATTCAAAAGTTATAAGAGATTTCCTGAAATTTTCAATGAAAAAATGGGGGCCGACGGATTCCGCAAATATATGGAGCTGAATGGTGCCAGTGACAGAGAAAATACATCATTTTAACATTGAAATGATCAGAAAATAATGTAACTTTTAAATGAGATAACGGTCAGTTATGAAACAGAAAGAATCTGGATAAGACCGCTTGCGCTATATACAGGGTGGTTCAAGGAGAGGCCAGGCTCTTTAAATCAACCGCAAAATTCCGTTTCTTAACCTATCGCGCTACGACTTCGTGCAGCGTTGCCCACAGATGGTGCATTTTTTTTTTTTAAATTTGCAAAGAGCGAATTTACCCGAGGAAAAAGTAAAGAAAGAAAAAGGCTTAGCTCCTATGGAAATGCGGCGAAGCCAAAGGTCTTCAAAACAATACGGCGCCGTTTCGCACGAAAGACAAGAGATGGCGAAAGCGGTCGCGACGCCAACTGCCGCCAACGAACGAGCACACAGCGCCGAGAGCCGGCGTCTTTAGCAGACGAGCTTTTCGACTCAAAAGCGGCGCACGTTACGGAGGCGGCGACAGTCGCAGAAACAAAAACCGGTGCGGTAACAACAAGGAACTTCAAAGCAGACTACATAAGTACCACGAAAAAAAAAAACTGTTAAAATAACCCGACAAACCATTTTTTAATAGATTACATGTCCATTTAATCAGTTTTATTAGTAAGGATGATAAAATGATGCATTGACTACTGATATGAAAAACGCTCGCGTCGCTTTTGAGTCGAAAAGATCGACTGCTAAAGACGCCGGCTCTCGGCGCTGTGTGCTCGTTCGTTGGCGGCAGTTGGCGTCGCGACCGCTTGCGCCATCTCATCCTCCCATGCGAAACGGAGCCGTAGTGTTTGAAGACCTTTGGCTTCGCCGCATTTCCATAGGAGCTATGCCTTTTATTTCTTTTCTTCTACCTCAGGTAAGTTCGCTCTTCAAAAATTTTACAAAAAAGAAAGAAAAAAAAAAAGCACCATCTGTGGGCAACGTTGCACAACTCGTAGCGCGATAGGTTAAGAAACCGAATTTTGCGGTCAATTTAAAGAGCCTGGCCGCTCCTTGAAACACCCAGTAATTGGGCGGAAAATGGGTGGTCGGCGATGCGTACATTGTTTTCCCGAAAAAAAAAAAAAGAAGGCAGATTAAAAATCTCATTTATTTGTTGTTGCTTTTTTTCTTCTGGGGGGGAAAGGGGGGGGGGCGTTTGGGGGCATGTTGTACTTTGTTTTACCTTTTAAGCCAGAGTACGGAGAAATTTATAAGACGAGGGGCAAATCACGACGCGTCGAAAACGCACGTCCAATCAAACGCAGGGTGCACCGGTACTTGGCGATTGTAGTCTGTCTGTACGCGTTTGTGTGTCTTGAAGGATTGGACATCAGTCGGCCTTCAGGTGAAACAAAGATGGCCAACCTGATGAAACAACAGTAAATCACATCCAACAAAATATTTTTTTATAACTCCAGTGAGTAAGTGGGCCGTACAGCTTCAGCAAAGTTCAACAACAAACACGTAAGTTGAATCATGTAGCTACAGATGTATCGCTCAACATTGGCTATCTATTGCATATGAATTGTAAACACGGCCTCTCGCTGCGAGCATCGGTATAATACTTGACGTGAAAGTTGTTGTTGTTGTTTTTGTTCGCAAGCGTCAACAGGTCATTCTCGCTCTTCGGTCTCCTGTTCCTTTCTCCCTCTCTAATATAGATAGGCTCCCGTATGTACATCTCACTGCGGCGGGTGCTCTCGACGGGACTACGCCGTAGAAAAACGCCTGGCGGCTCTCCGGGCCGGCGTGGTGGGCCCCCGTCGGCGCCGGAGAGCAGAGACGCAAGCGACTTGAAAACGCGACGGCCGCGGCTCGCTGTGGCCCATCAGCGACACAGTCAGGTCCGCGGGGAGGGTCTTCGCGATGATCATGTGGTCCTGGATTTGGCACGCTCCGTTGGTCCTCTTTGCCTGCGCACGGAACACCCAGGGGGTCCGTTAAATGCGGTTTGCGTACAACTCAAACGGCTATCAAATAAAAAAAAAAAAATTGAAGACGTTTCCAATTTTTTGTAACGCCGAATTAAAGCGCAGCTCTTGAGGAGGAGGAAGGGAGATCACGTAGGGGAAGGTATGCCCCTCCTCCCCTCCGTATTCTCCCCTCCTCCTCGCCTGCTCCCCTCCTTTTTTTTTTAGCGGGGAAATTTTGCGGCGAAAATTTCCCGCTAAGTTCAGCGGGGACATTTTTCCGCTAAACTTTGCGGGGAATTTGTGCCTCTAAATTTAGCGGGAAAAGGTTTACACAAACTTTAGCGGAGAAAATCCTCCACTAAATTTAGAGGGTCTTTTTTTCGCTAAATTTAGAGAAAAATTTTCTGCTAAATTTAGAGAAAAAATTTCTGCTAAATTTAGCGGTAAATTTTCCCGCTAATATTAGCGGGGAAATTTTTCCATAATGCAACACGCGCTCAAGCCCGGTGGCATTATTCCCATAATGCAAGGCGCGCGGTTACGCCGTCGGCGTAACCGCTCTTAGGCTTCTGTTTCCGGCTTTAGCGGCGCGCCGCTAAAGCCGGAAACAGGAGCCTAAGAGCTGCGCTCTAAAAAGTGCCTATTGTAGTACTAACGAGATTACGAGTAAACTTCAAACGTGCTTCATAACTACTTCGTTTCACTATAAGAAAGGGCGCAGACAAAGCCTAAAAGACACACGACCGAAGGCGCCCAAGCTAAAAGGACGAAGTCACGGCTTTTTTTTAGCTTGATTGGTGTCAGTCAGTGGTAACACGCGCCCATAAATACGATAAATGCCATGACGTTGCGCTGCTGACGCTGCTTGACCGGCCCGTAATTAACGAATATATAGAGACGTTTTCCGTTTTCTTTCGTTCTCATTCTCGTGGGTTTCGTGCCTGGTATGCGGGACGTGAAAGTAATAAAACGTTTCGACCCGGAATATGCGAGAAAGTATAGGCGAGGCGAGGCAAAACAAGTATGTGCAACAATCACGCGTTTTTTGCGAACACCTTCTCGTGTCGAGGAGAGATCAAAACGATGTTTTAACGCGTACCAGAAGTGACGACTTTCAAGATGGTTGCGCCGTTGTTGTGTATAAAAAATGACTAACAATTAAAGAAACAGAAAAAAAGGTAGGAGGATTTATATATGCTAGGTGGGTACAAGTACTAGCTGTCATTTAAGATCCTTGCCTGCTGCGATTGGTTCTTTGACCAGTGCAAGCATGGGATGCATCACCGTGAAGGACGATTAGAACCTGTCGGACGGGCCGGTAGATGTCAGGAAGTTGAAAAGTCACTGAATTGTACAACGTTAGTGTGCGGCTCCAGAGGGAAATATAATGTCGTCTGTTTCCGGGGCTGTGAAGCCAAGTGCTTCGAGCTCGTGCAAAGTGCGGACGCAGCAGAAGCTGCTGCGTCCGCACTCCGGACGCAGCAGCTGAAAGCCCGGATCGCTCCGGGCTTTCAGTTTCCCTACCAAGCATTTGCAACCCGTGCAGTGAAAGCGTCGTTCATGGGTTCGGGGCAACATGCTCGTGCTTGTAGCTTCGGCTGCGCTCGCACATTAAGTAAAACAAAATGTAATTATCGAGGGACAGATGCACGCTGTTTTTAACCGCTTGTTAATGAATTCTATTACGTTATTTTGGTTCCGAAACACTTCCTCTTTGATTAAACTGATCTCTTACCCTGACTGGCTGAACTCGAAGAGCTGTCAAGTTCGGGAACTGCTCTTTGTCGCTTTGGCTAGGAACCACAAGATCGCCGGGTTGCGACTATCCCTCGTTCAATTTATGTAATGTGCCTGACGTTGGCCCTTCGGCCTCGCCGAACCTGAATGATGGATCGCCGACGCTTCTTCCCTCACCATGGTGTGTCGGGTCCCCAGCAGCGGGCGGGGTTCAGCTCCTCCTGGAAGGGGTGACCGGCGTCGAGGGGACGTCGTCGTAGGTCCTGCCGATGCCCGAGACGCTCGTGACGGACGGCCCGTCGGGTACGGGCCCGCCCTCGCCGCTGGCCGTCGAGTCCTCGGGCGTCTTGGAGACTTCGGTGGTCTCCTGTTCGTGCGGGTGGTGGTGCGGCTTGTGCTTGTGGTGGAAGGGCTGCAGCGAGAACCGTCGGTGGGTCACTTTGCGGCCGCCTCTGCGCTTGGAGATGTGCGGGTTGTCCTTGCGCATCGTCTTGTTCCGCAGCACTTGCAGTTGGGTGTACACGCGCCGAAGCTCAGCCTGCAAACGAATCATGCACGAGAACCCCCGGATGAGTCGGGCTCATTTAAAACGAGCAGTGCGAGGAGACTGCTTTCATGGTCGTTTTTGAGTGTGTAAATCTAGTATTAGTTATGTTTGAAAAGGGTATTTACTTGTCTTGGCGCTTTGCTTGGGAACATTCATGGCTGACAATGGCGCTTGCTGATATTTAAGATCAGTAATATTGCGTCTCAAGCTAGCTGTCACTGTTAACATCCCCCCGAAGGACCGTACGCCACACGATCATGGGCTATGTCTTATGGCCATTCGTTTGTCCATATTTAACGCGGCAGTCAATATATACTTGCGGCGTCGATGTGCTATATGCATTGCATGGGGGGATTGGTGGCCAAGTGGGCTAGCGCAGACCAGCTCGAAGCACGTGGAGTGAAAGCTCGCGCTGCAGTAGCCAGGGATCCTGGGCTTAATCCTCATCCTGCCCGTTTCGATCTGGATGACCATCGTACCGACGTGCGGTCGTGTATCCCTACTGCGAGGTGCACGTTAAAGACCCCCGGCTAGCGGTTGTACTGCACTGACTACATTTCTCATCTACAGCTGGGAGACAAGTCGCCCGTTGAGGCAGACTTAGTTTTAGGCTGTCTAAACATAAACACCAGTGGCGTACCCAGTCTTGTAGACGTTACTAAAAAAAAGTAATCGATTACAATTACTATTACTCTTGGCTAAAAAGTATTCAATAAGATGACTTGATTACTCGACGGCAAATGTAATTGGACATTACTTAAAGAAGTAATCGTTACTTTTCCCATTACTTTATTGTGTGAAGACACATCTTTAGCGCTCATAGCAATGAACTACTTCCAACCTATATTTCACATTTGCACAAGTACTGAAGAAGAAAAACTGGTTCCCTCTTCGCGGTCGTTGCACCTTCACAATGCGGACACAAGCATAGAATTCGTTTGAAGAGGTTTAATGACTTCGGCGTTCGCCAGTGTGTGTGTGTGTATGTGGGGGGCGGGGGGGGGGGGGGGGGCTTGAGCAAGGGTTGTCGCTCAAAGTTTGCGTCGCTCATTTTATTATTCACACGTGGATGAGCTCGCATGTTATACAAAAGAGCAGCAGCTCCAGGACTTGACACGGATCATGTGTAGTATCCATCAGCGGAAGAGATCGCCCAGACTACTTCTCAACTCGAAACATTGCTTGTCACAAAGACCACGTAGGGGAAATGGGGAAATATTTCAACTGCCCTGTTATATTTTGCATCCACTTTAGGTATTCTTCGGTTTTGGTACTCCTACGGGCTGCGAGTAGGTACCCTAAGCAGGATTTTTTTATTTTGTGTGAGGGGGCTAGTTTGAACGAAGGACTCACAAAGCTACATTCTGCTTCCTCAAACTGCGCCCTGAATGGCCTTTCTCACGCACGGTGGTTTCCCTGGGGCTTCCCACTCCCAGTCCCAGCTCGAAGACAAAAAAAAAAAAAAAAAAAGCCGGACATTTTACAGAAACTGTACATAGAAAGAGATTGACCTCGTTTCCTACAGCTCCGCAAAAATCTTTCTTTTTTCCGTTTGAAAAAAAAAAATATTTTTGTCATTTTATAAAAAAAGGGCGTGTGCCGGGTGGGGGGGGGGGGGGGGGGAGGGGGCGGGGGTCTCGTGGACAAATTGTAACGGTTACAAGTAATTTTATTACTTCAAAAAGTAATCAGATTACTCTTGTGATTACTGCCTAATAAAAGTAATAAACTGATTACAAAATTACTCCAAAAAGTAATCGATTACAAGTAATTTGATTACTTGTAATGCGCACGGTACAAGTCTGGGCGTACCAAGCCGGAAAAGGAGGGGGGGGGGGGGGGCGGCTCAGGTACGTGGCGCTCCAGTCACGTAGGGTGGTGCCACCTCCGGCAGCGCCCGGCGCCTCCTTCGCCCGCTTTCCTGGTTGGTTGCAATCTCGGATGTGACGGAGGGGGGGGGGGGGGGGGTGCTATGAAAGACATAGCCCCAGTGCTGGATGGCTTAGCTACGCCACTACTACATACACCCCGTCTTTTTTTTTTCTTCTTTTTTTTATGCATCGCATGCCGCGTGGCGTAGGTATAGTTCAAAGCTCGATTCAGTAGTGCGGAACCGCAGAGCTGTCCGGTTCCCCGAGTCAGTGCTCTCTGGTTGCCACAGGCATAGAAGGAGACGTACGTTCCTCCCGATTCTCTTCCCTTTCCTTTGCAGAGTAGAAACAATGCAATTTAATGGTATGATTACATTAAGCAGCGGTCCACACTGTTAATCCGTCATACAAAGTCGGCAACCGCTATCTGAGGGGCGTTTATTCCTTGTCTGCCAGTCCTGTTACATTGATCATACAGACACTGTTTGCAGACATGCGGGAAGCACACTTACATAGGTATGCAACAAACATGCTTCGAACATGAGTGGAAACATGCTTCGAAATTGAAATAAATGAAATGCTTCGGGTGCGTCTGCAGATCATTCTGCCATGATGTCTGCAGTGGATACCGTATCTTTTGTATTAGGTATGAGCAGGTGACTGCGGCAAGGGAAGATGCGGGCCAAAAACGGCAATATTTCGCACACACAAAAAAAGTGATTTCAAGTATTATGGCGTTATTATTATTTTGTAATCTTTATTTTCGATGTATAAAAATAATTATTCCCGGATTTGATCGCGACATTAATCAGATACGCGTTCGAAGACCTCCCAGGCAACCCAGAACGGGGAGCATTTGAGCCATTTTTCTCCCTGTGGTTGTTCCGAGTTGTGGCGTCGCCCGCCATAGCTGTCTTCTCTCCGTTGCAGATTTCTGTAGTTTCTAATTTTTCGCAAAAATTTATTAAAAAAAAAAAATTCTGCGCCGCGAAAGAGTTTGGTTATAGATCTATTGCAACCTTCGAACGCGTATTTTTTTCTTCATTTTTACGTAATTTTAGGGCACCTTCATGGTCTGTGCACAAGAATTTCTGTTTTTAATATTGTATTATCACAACAAAATTTGGCATGCGTATACTTTAGAATATGTGAAATCCAACTATTTCGATTCGGTTAGAATATATATATATATTTTATATTCATAAAAAAATGTAAAAGACGTTTGTTAATCCCTTAAAGTGGCATGTTTTGATACTTTTAATTATTTTAAAGTGAAAGAAGCGTGACACGCATTATTTTTGTCGTTCATTGCACTCGGCGGTTTAAAAGCAGCGAATTAGTTCATTTGGCTCGGTTTATTTTTTAAGTCCGTTGCCACGCTCTACGTGCGCACAAGAGCATGTTTTTGTTTTCTCCATGTACAGTCACCGGCCATATGAGCTCCCCCGGCCGAACGCCGACCGGAGCAGCAAAAATCCCGCATGTGGCGCGTCGAGCATTGCCGCGGTCTGGGATCCGGGCTATTGGGACCGAACCATTCCTTCATCAAAGGGGTGCACTCAGGAAGTTTGATAGCATTCCGCGTATTGGAACGTGAATCTGAAGCACGGCCGATTACAATCCCGTTTCCGGTTGTAGGTAAACGCAGACGGCTTATCGAAATTCTTTGCTGCATAATATCTCTGACGTGTTATGTGCTACTCTTTTATTTGCAAAACCGTTTTGTCATTTTAAATATTTCCTACCCGAAGAGTAATCCTAGGCACAAGCTTTCTTACAATCTTTCTTAAATATAGACTAGACAATGACATGCGATTTTGAAATAATTTATTAAAACCATAGGCGATATGCTATAGATAACAAAAAGAAAAGGATTTGTGTCGAAGCAGAATAAAAATTCAGGCAGTTTTCATGAACGCGTTTTATCGAAGAGACTCTGTTGTTCTGCGCTCAGTAGCGTGTTGCTTCGCCAAGGGTAATTCTCTACACGATGACTTTGCAGACGGCTTCCTGGTCGGCCACTTCTCGCTTGCCGAAGGATAATTGTTGTCATGCTTAATATTATATCAAACGTAGGGTCTTTACATTTGTAAGCATCGATCGAACACTGCTGCTTTATCTACACCTAAAGCAAGCTCCAGTCTATCAGCAGTTATAACATCCCCTCCGAACACTTGGGGCCAACACCCGAAGACGGCAACTCTAATCGGCCATGATTTCGTGATTCAAACTTCTAAAGGCTGAAATCCCGATAAAAGCTATGCGTCCACACCTTTGATAACGGAATGGTTTGGCCCCAATAGCCCGGCTCCCAAAACGCGGCAACGCTCGACGCGCCACATGCGGAATTTTCGCTGATCGGGTCGGCGTTCGGCCGGGGGAGCTCATATGGCCGGCGACTGTACATTGCATTGAGAACCTAGAAAAACAAGCTATATTAAATCTAACAGCCGGTTTACAAAGAAAATAGTAAGCACCATAAACTGTAAAAAAATTTATTACGATGCCGTATATAATGATAATAAAAATTCCACCATTATGAAAAAAACCAGCTGAACTAAGGAAAAGGTAGAGATAGAAAGAAAGACACCCGATCGCTGGACTACCAACTGTTTTTATATAAACCTCCTCTTCATCTTCTTCCTCTCCTTCTGCATAATTCACTTCGTTCCCCCCTTTTCCCCTTTGTTTTACGTTTTATTTTACACGATGTTGACCCCCTCGGAGAAATAGTTTTTCGGTGCGCAACAAGGTGATTGAAGGTGCACTAACACACCCATCTCCTTTTTCTTCTATGGCAGCAGCTTCTAACATCTCCCGCGCGAGCTGGCTTTTGTGGCGTGCTACGATGTTAACTTGCGCGAGCTTCGCCGTGCACTTGCATGCTCGGCAATGCGCAGATAGGTGCCCCGGCGCTGTCAGGTTCTTTAGGTTGGCTGCGTGCTCACGTGTACGCTCGTTGATGCAGCGTCCCGTTTGTCCAATGTAGCAGCGCCCACATGTCAGTGGTATGCTGTAAACAACCTCTTTTTCGCACGAGGCGAATTGTGTCTTGTGCCTGGTGTTACATTGACTGATCTGGTTGGTCGATGACTGGTTGATCTTCCGGCACATTGAATACGCTTTGTTGGGTGCCGAGCACATAACTTGCACGTCTTGTCGCCTGGCGATCTTTTTTAACTTGTGGGTAACCCCATGTATATATGGGACCACCACAAAAGGTTTCCGTGCATGTTTCTTTTTTGCTGTGGGGTCGTCTTTCTTCTTGATGGTGCGAATGATTTTTTCGCAAATGGAGGCCAATAAAGACTCTGGGTAACCGGCGTCCTGAAGTCTTGAAACTTGTGTATTGAAGCTTTGTTGTATTTGGTGGGGGCAAGTCTTTTTGAGGCTGGCCAGAAGGGCCGTGGCGACTATTCCTTGTTTGACGATTTTGGAATGCTGGGACTCGAAGGGAAGAAACCCTTTATTCGAGCGCGCCTGGTACCTCCAACAAACATGATCTTTTTGAAACTCCAGCACCAGGTCAAGGAACCTAATAGTTTTTTTGATGGGAAGCTCATGGGTGAAAGTGAGGCCCATGCAGCTGTTTTGGAAGTGTGTCATTATGGAGTCGAGGCATCCATTTTCTTCTTCAATTGCAGTGGAGCATAAAATAAGAAAGTCATCCACATAGCGAAAAATGACTGATATTCGTGGATCATTTATGACTTTTTGGATAGTTGTTCCACAGGCAGCGAGAAAAATTTCGCATAAAAACGGAGCCACTTGGGATCCGATGCATATCCCACTCTTCTGCACATAGTGATGTTCTTGGTGGGCCACCACCGTTGCGGACAAGTAGAAGCCTAAAAGTTCCAAGAAGGTGCCCAGGCTCATCCCTGCTGCATTTTGAAACGTGGTAAGCCCTTGTTCCTCAATGGTGGTTTGAAGAACACGTAAAAGGTTATCGTGCGGAATTGAGTAGTACATATCCTGTACGTCAATCGAGAACCCAGAAACAATTAGGTTTCCTTGTTCATGAAGAAATGCGATCACGTGCTCTGAGTTAGGTATCCTGAAGGGGTCTTCTACTGGTATTTTGGAGAGTTGCTGGGCAAGAAACCTCGATACGCATGCTTGCCAAGTGTTTCTTTCGGATACAATGGCCCGAAATGGAACACCTTCTTTGTGAGTCTTGGCTGAGAAGAAGACAGAAAGTTGGTCATTTTTTGCCCCTTTGATCCTGGTGCTGAGACTAGCTTGTTGGTGTTCGTCTAGCAACTTGAGAATGGCCTTCTTTGCTACTTTTGTCCTTTTCTCTGCTACTGGCATAAAATTCTTGATCATGGCCTGATGGGCTTTTTCTCCATATCTGTCGGACTCAAGAACGACAAATCCTCCCTCCTTATCGGAAATGCATAGCTTTAAATCCCGGCTTCTTAATTCTTGAATTGTAGACCCAAAGCTCACCTTTGGCTTAGCTTGGTGCTGAAGGCTGGAAAATACTTTGATTCCTTCATCAATAATTTGAGAGCTTCTTTCCTGTGGAGCTTTTGCGGCAATTTGCCGTATTATGGCTACCTTGTCTACAGCTTCAAGCTTGGGAGCTATGGCAAACTTTGGTCCTTGTTCCAGCACCTTCCGAGCTTGTTCTGAAATGTGCACATTCCCTATAAGCTGGAGCGGTGTCTTTTGCAGAACCGTCTTGCGTTGCCGGTGTAGTTCCAGATGATGACGCCAAATGGGGAGAAAGTTCTTCTTCCAGAGGATCTCCGTTGTGTTTTGCGTCATGATGAGATGATTGGAAAATTCGTTGCGGGTCGGAGACTTGACTCGCAGAAAGTCGGTGAGTAGTCGCACTTGGCGCCATTTTTCAGATCGAAGAATCTTGGACACCCGTTGTGCGTGCGCGTGTGATGGTTGTAGAGCCCCGAAAAAACACTTTACCTCTTCCAGGATGATCTTCTTTTGTGTGCTGCGAGTGAGCAGCCTTGCTTGGCAGATGGACGTTGCAATCATGAGCCTCAAGCCTGGTGGGCCAAGGAGGTTGAAATTGATAAAAGACGTGCTCAGGTAACTAGAAAGATAAGTAACGATTGGTGTAATAATGAGTAACCAACTAGCTCAGATTACACCAAAAATTCCACCTTCGCGCATGTCCCCGTTAAGGGGTATTCACACGATGGAGAAATCCCGGGGATTTCTCCCCGGCACGCGCGCATCGCGAGATGAAAACGCGAGGCTTTTGCACATTGCAAAGCCTGACGTTTTCGTCGTGGGATGCGCGTGCCGGGGAGAAATCCCCGGGATTTCTCCCTCGTGTGAATACCCCTTTACGGCTACACACAGTAGCCGTATTCTAACAACCAATGAATCTTGGCCGTGAGGGGAAGTTGCCATTTAATAAAAACGATTGCAACTGGTGCACTGAACTATGAGACCATAAATCCAAGTGCTTCAGTAACAGGGCACGTCATGGCAAAGTGGGCGAGTTACCAAACAAGCCCAGTGCTGTACTAAACAAAAGATGAATAATTACGGCGTTTTAGCAGTAGGCAAATCGGAGCCTCAGCTCCATTTGTGAAAAGGCTCAAAGAGGGGCGGCTCACCCTTATGTCTTCCGGATCCATGTCTGCCAGATTTATGTCCGCAATATCCACCTCTCCGTTAGAAAGAACGGCTTCGTGGAGTTTCAGATTCTCTGGATGTGGATCCGGAATCTCATACGATGAAAAATGACGACTGCGATGCTCTGTTGTTTGGTTCGGAGGTCGGTGGTGGTACCACAACTGCGTTCAAAAGGGAGCGCATACAGTCGTGCCTCGTTAATAGGAACCCCATTATTACGAATACTGCAGCTACGTATAGACAAACTATTCGGGAGCACACTGGGCAAATGCACGCATTCGTTTCTCGTTGCTATGAACGACTCACAGTAACACTTCCATTCTTGATGGTTTCTCGGGAGAATGGAGTTGTTTACATTAACGAGACATGGCCTTATAGAAGGCTGCACCATTTGAAACACTGAAGCTAACACAAGATATGCCGGCAAGGAATGCACCTCCCTGGAACGTTGCTTTCTCATTTCACACTCACAGATACACATAATTTCGACACACATGGTTCGACATTACAGATCGGAGACGTGGCACACAACCACAAAACAGAAAAGAAGACTTCCCAAAAAAATGTCCACGCGGCTTTGGTTTGAAAACTCGGGTAGTCGGGTTTTCAGATATTCCCGCTGAACTAAGCGGACGTGATAAAATTATTGTCCTATTCGCCAAAGCAGCTCTACTACGTGCGAGTGTGCTTCGTAAACTAGTTATAGTTGCGCTTGTTGAAACGCTACTTAAAACTAAAAGCGCCTCGGGGTCTCTTCTATATTTATTGCCCCTCTGTCATAGCTCACATTGTTCTCGGTACTTCATGGCGTGAAGCACCACATAAATATTACATGGATATTCTTTAGTAGCTGCTTTATAGAAGAAAATGTTATAATTTCGGAGTTATACGACGAGTAAGAACCAATCGGCACTTCTGACAAAGGTATTTCTCGTATGTGTTTTTTTTTCTTAATTTTAGCTATATGCTTATTCTGATTCCGCTACATGCCAAAGGAAATCTCCTAAGAGCGTCAGTTTCAACCAGTATATTCAAATTGACAAATAAAGCACGGAATCATCACAAAGTTTGTGCAACCAGCGTTCAATGAGTTATACGCCCAAAATACGTAAAACAAAGAGCCGACATAGTCTTACGTTTTCTAACGCCAGCTCAGCGTAGGTGGAAGAAAAATGACGAGGGAAAAACAGGCAGTGAGAATAACAAGCGCAACTGAAGACCTACGTACAGTATAAAAAGAAAATGAAAGACGTTTACAACATTCACTGTAACGCCGAATTAGAGGGACTCCCTTGAGGAAAAGGAGGGAAGGGTACTGAGGGGAGGGCATACCCCTCCTTTCTCCTTCTCATCCTCCCTGCTACTCCTCCCCCTCCCCTCCTCCTCGTCCTCCTCCTCCCCTCATCCTTCAAGCTCCTCCCCTCCTCCTTATCCCCTCTTCCCTTCTCCTCCATCATGGGAAATATCCCATAATGCCACCACGCGGAAACCTCGTGACTTCACACGTGACGTCACGAGGTTCCCGCGCGGTGCATTATGGGACATTTCCCATTCCCCGCGGGACCCTCGTGACGTCCCACGTGACATCACGAGGGTCCCACCTGGTGCATTATGGGACATTTCGCATAATGCTCCGCGCGGTTACGCCGACGCCGCTCAAGGCGGAGACGGGCGCCTAAGAGCTGCGCTCTAAAACAGTCATTAGTCTCCTGAATGACGCAATTTTACTCGCAGCGAACTAAGAACAGCGTTTTTATAGGTCGCAAATTAAGTATGGAGTGGGAAGACCTTCCAGATTGACTTACTTTTGGAGCGAATATGAGGAAGAGAATGAGAGTGACGGTGCAATGGCAGCGGACGAAGTATAGAAGGAAAACGTGGTCCGGTTCGAGAACGGCTGCCAGTGCGTGCCTGAAAGAAAATGAAGAAAAGGAAACAGCAATGTTTAAGCGTTTTTTTTTAGAGAAAAAAAAAGGGGGGGGGGGGCTTTAGAAGGGCTATAGCATAGGTATTAATAAAATTCAGCGTCGATAAACAAATAAGAGTGCAGCGGAAGGACAGCGTTCACGTCACGTTAGTCTTAAGTTAGGTCGAATAATGGTGCTTAGTACGCGCCTCCAGCTGGTTTGTTTCACGTGCTATCCCGCTCTTACTTCAAAAGTGGACCCGAAGTGGCAACAAATGACGTCAGAAAAGCCGGAGTGTCACGCTGTAGGATATCGCCATCCTGGCAGTTGGCTGCTCGAACGGCAAAAAAGCACGAGCGAATGCGAGTGTCGTCGCAGCGTCTCAACTACTGGCTGACGAGGCTATCCGTAGACCGTCAAGCTGCAGTGCGACCAGCAGCAGAATAGTCGTCCGCCACTTCAACCACCGCTGCTGTGTGAAACCGCCAGGATCGCGGTCATCGACAGCATGACACTTCTACGACGTCATCAGGCGGAAATCGAGGGACCACTTTTTGGGACGCGGTAAACAAAGCAGTCGGACACGCGTTCCAGGCACCGTAGTTTTAACTAGAGCGACTAAATAAGGTATGCTTATATTATCTGCATTCCATAGCCCGATTTTCTTGTGGAAACCGCCATTTTGTTGCTTAGTGCAGCAGAGCGGACTCAATTTTTGGCGAACGTTATACCATTCGAAATTGCGTCTTTTTGAGATACGGTATGAGGTGAATCGGGCGACATTAAAGAGCGCTGTCCCTCGCGGACTGTTTTAAAAATTCTAAAGGACGTAATACCGTTTACTGCGATTTCAGATAAAGATTCGGGTAACTGTTAACCATAACATTTAGCAACAAGATGGCCGAAGGGTAGTTAATCTGGAGCGCAGCTTATTGATAGGCTCTAGGGCAAAGGATGGGGAGCGGAACGTTTCGCCGAATTTCTTCAGCGCTCGGCATCATTTGATAACGTGCAAAAAATAAGAAAATAAAAAAATGAAGGTCACGAAGTGATTCGCCGTTGGTGTAGTTTTATTGAATGATGCACAGCTTAAAGAGTGCATCCGAGTCATGCATTAACAGTCGTACTGCGGCACCAATAATAATGTAAGTACTCCTCACCAAACAGTCGGAGCAGACGCAAGATCTAACTGTAAATCTTCTAGAAAAGGATTCCTAAGTCTGGACTTTCCAATGACAAGTACGCTGACGTTGAGTTCGTTTATTGTGTTATCGCACGCTTGGACAAATATTATGGAAAACATCTCCACCTAATCAAAATAATTTAAGAAACTTCTGATATGCCACTCTTTATTTTAAGTGTTTATCTAACTCATCGCGAATTAAAAAATAAATAAAAATACATGTTTTTATTTAACATGTTCAATGTTATGTCGAATCATTAGTTAACGAACACCTAATATTTATAATAGATTTACTTAAAAATAATTTTCCTTTGATTTTGCGAGGACTGAAGCTGGGTCCCTGAATTTGCGGCTAAAACTGGCATCTATTTTGCACACCGTCCCGAGTAAATAATGTTTTTTTCGGAATATTGCGTAAAAATTGCAGAGTTTTCTTTCATGACAAGGTATTTGCGCTTTATTAAACGAAACTGAGATAGAAATGCGTGTCAAACGTATGGGCCATAATACGTATAATCGATGCAGCACATTTTCATCTGAGGAATTATTAAGGAACTCAGAAGGTTTCCGAAATACCTCATCGCTGTTAAACGACTTACACTAACATTTATTGCGCGTAGCTCTGAAAGCATCCACACACAGATTCGACAGCAATTCTGCGGCTAACTTGCAGTAACTGAATGGAGAGGTTGTAGACTTACCGAATTATGTACATACTAAGGGAAAACAGGGTTTCGATGTAAACAGAGCAGCAGAGAGTCCATTTTTCTGTGTAGCACTCAACTTTGGCGTTGCGTATACAATAGGCTAGGTAGATGCCCAGAAGCATGAATAGCGCTTCCCCTGTAAAACAAGGAAAAAAAAAAAAAAAGAAAGAGAGAGAGAGAGAGAGAGGAAGAGATGGGGGAGGGAGAGAAAGACTTGATAAGACAATCATCGTGATAAATGGCATTCCCTGTACTCCTACGTATTATGTGCTATGATTTAGCCATGGTTAGAGAGAAGTGAATAGTTTTAATTTCTTCAATATTGTGCACCGTACCACAAAACCTGCGTACAGATAACGTTGAGACGTTCTCCCTTTCTCTTCCTTGTCGTCGTCTGTCATTACCTCAGTCTCGGGGTTTTCACTAAAATGTCTAAAAACAAATAACTGCGCATTTTTTTTTTGTGATATTGTACAATCCTCACATCTGCTGCTGTTAATATGAGCATACAGTGTCGGCGTGCGGTCGTGTAATCACTACTTCATGATGCACGTTGAGGATACGTGCAAGCGGTACTACTGCAGAGGCTAAGTTACCCCTCTACAAAGTTGAACCAGTCTTGCCAGATCTGAGAGGCACGCTCGACCCCAATCATTTGCAAAGTTCAATCTGCTTTCATTTCACGTCTTAGTACATCACAGTCCGTAGAAGGGATTGAGAAATCCTAGACCTTAAGTCTTTCACAGACTATTTATAATGCATGCTTTCACAGTTTTGTTCTGATATTTTATATCATTAGGTATATTTGGTTATAACTGATATTTCCCGTTTGATATTATGATTAACTGTTACCGCAATTGTAATTGTTTAAGTATCTTTTACATCACGCATTGTGTCAAGAGAGAAACCCAGATGGCATTAGCAAGACGTCCGACAGTGCTTGACGCTGACAGTTCTTCAGTACACGTACGTATTTGCATATATCTTTTTGACTGCACCCACATCACTATAATGTATACAAAATCAAATATTCCTCTACCAGCGAACATTTTAAAAAAGGGCCGTCGACTAACAAGAGCTAAAGCACGAGACACATGGACGGCAGAATCGTCCGATCCGACAGTCCGAACGCCGCTCCGAATCGCCGCACGCGACAGTTTGAGACACACGCTTCCGACCTTTCATGCGACACGACGATCCGTTCGGCTCCACCCATGAGATCCAAGCACTCCAGCGGAGGTCCGCGTTCACAGATCTCTGGTCCCAGATTGACGGTTTAGCTCACATGAGCGAAGTTCGAAGCTCGTTCTCGTTAGCGCGTGCATTCTCTCCCGAAGCCATCTTTCTCGAATGGGTCAGCGGGATCCACGCGTCCGGCTTCCCGTCGCCCGTCCCGTTTTCTTCATTTCTTGTCAGTACGTCATCATGGCGTTCGCGCTAGCTGTGCTGTCATTGGCTGGACGCATCTGACAATCCGTCGGCCGTGCGAAACTATCTGGCGCGTTGGACGCACCATATCCGAAACATTTGGTCGCTTCAGACGTCGGATCGGCGATCCGACGTCTGAAGCGACCAAATGTTTCGGATTAGGCAGTCGTACTGCCGGATCAGACGTCGGATCGGATGGATTTTTCGCGCATGTGTCTCGCCCTTAACAGATCTGGGCACTATGACATTCCCCGAACTCGTAACGTACTATATGACCAGCGACTTTTGAAATTCTGCGGTACTAAAATTTGAAATACTTTATTATATTCAGACACGTATTCCCATAACTTTAACAGTTCTTTAAAGCATCATATTTTTGTAAATTGGATACGTCTTACATATTCTTGACACTCATTTGCTTATTGCATAATTATTTTTCGTCACCATGACAATATGACCGAGTTAGTTTATAGCATGCATGCCGTTCTTTTTACATTATCTAGCTATTTGCTTAAATATTTTGTTAGGGTTTTCAGTGTTTTCAATACTAGTGCCTGTCATCGTAATATTTTATTAAAATGGGCCCGAATTACAGAAATTGGTTATGGGCCCAGATAATTTTTCATTAACATGTAATATGCGTTGACTCTAATAAAAAACATTGAGCAATTGATTGGCATATCTGGCTAGGATCTTTAGGATGCTCTAGGGTTGAACCAATTTAGTGCACCCGGAGATTTCCAATGCAAGAAACCTATATTTTGTACAACCTTTCCCCCAGCAGTCCGTGCAACAAGGCGAGAAACTCCTATATTCTATGACAGCAGCTGCACCGACGGGAGGACGACGGCGTGGCTCACCAAACTCGGTGACGTAGTCCCACCAGAGGGCTCTGCAGAGCAGGTAGCGCAACGATGATGGCGTGACGGCCACCTCTAGAATGCTGTGGCCCTTTTCCCAGTTGTCCATGACGACTGCCGTCCAGGCGGACATGTAGCCGGCCACCACCATCACGAAGCCCAAGAGGTACTTGAGCAGGTCCTTGTCTCGCACGCACACCCGGTGCGCCTTGCGAGTCTGGAACTCGGCCAGGATTCTGCGAAGCATCGAAACACCGCTCTTTGTGCACGTCGTTCGGTCTTCGATCTACGACGCTCGGAACCCGCATTCGACTCGCGCGTTTACCGTCCGATCTGCATCGAAGATGGTCCCGAAGTGGCAGTAAATTGGGCCATAGGAGCCGGCTTGTAAAGCTGAAAGATGTCGCGGTGCTAGCGCTTGGTTGTAGAAATGCTGACGAAGGCGAGCGGATCAAGGGTCGCTATATGGTCGGGGCGTCCCGTCCGGTGTCGTTTTTGTTTTCATCGACTGTCTGTTTGGCAGCCGAGCGGCTTGCAGCAAAATAGGTGCCTGCAGCATTCACCTCCGCCGCTGCGTCGCCACCAGGATCGCGACAGGCGACAAGATGACAATTTTAAGAACCCATTTCAGGCTAAGATCGAGGGACCGATTTTGCCGACGCAATGATCGTACCCGTCTGGAGGCGCCAGTCTTCGAGCGAGAGCGAGGAACACCGCCACTATCGTGTCTGGAACGCGTCTCCGACAGGTGTTGTCCGTCGTCGCGTCCTAAAAAAATTGGTCCCTCGATTTCCGCGTGATGACGTCATAAGAAGTGGTTGCCAGCTACCCCGATCCTAGCGGCACAGCAGCGAAGGCAGATGGGTCGGACGCCTGTTCTGGAGCAGATCGATCTCCATGCACCTTGACAGTCCACTGAAGCTTCGGCAGCCACGCAGAAGTGGAAATGCGGTGACGACAGCGTCACTTGCGTTAGCTCGTCTTTTTCTTGGACAGCGTTTCTAGAAACAACCAACAGAATCGTGACCTATCCGACAGCATAACGTACAAAGATGTTAGATTGTATAGAGCAGGGGTGGCCAAGCTGCGGCTCGCGAGCCGCATGCCGCTCTTCGCGTGTTAAAGTGCGGCTCTCAAGGACAACCTCTAGGACGACCTCAGAGACGACGTCGAGGACGACGTCCTAGAGCGACGTCAAAGACGGCGTTTAGGATGACCTTTAGGGCGACTTCTAGAGCGATCTCAAGGACGACCTCTAGGACGACCTCAGAGACGACGTCGAGGACGACGTCCTAGAACGACGTCAAAGACGGCGTTTAGGATGACCTTTAGGGCGACTTCTAGAGCGATCTCAAGGACGACCTCTAGGACGACCTCAGAGACGACGTCGAGGACGACGTCCTAGAACGACGTCAAAGACGGCGTTTAGGATGACCTTTAGGGCGACTTCTAGAGCGATCTCAAGGACGACCTCAGAGACGACGTCCTAGAACGAAGTCAAAGACGGCGTTTAGGATGACCTTTAGGGCGACTTCTAGAGCGATCTCAAGGACGACCTCAGAGACGACGTCCTAGAACGACGTCAAAGACGGCGTTTAGGATGACCTTTAGGGCGACTTCTAGAGCGATCTCAAGGACGACCTCTAGGACGACCTCAGAGACGACGTCCTAGAACGACGTCAAAGACGGCGTTTAGGATGACCTTTAGGGCGACTTCTAGAGCGATCTCTAGGACGACCTCAGAGACGACGTCGAGGACGACGTCCTAGAACGACGTCAAAGACGGCGTTTAGGATGACCTTTAGGGCGACTTCTAGAGCGATCTCTAGGACGACCTCAGAGACGACGTCGAGGACGACGTCCTAGAACGACGTCAAAGACGGCGTTTAGGATGACCTTTAGGGCGACTTCTAGAGCGATCTCAAGGACAACCTCTAGGACGACCTCAGAGACGACGTCGAGGACGACGTCCTAGAACGACGTCAAAGACGGCGTTTAGGATGACCTTTAGGGCGACTTCTAGAGCGATCTCAAGGACGACCTCTAGGACGACGTCATGGACGACCTCTAGGACGACGTCGAGTACGACGTCAAGGTCGTTCCGTTTTCCGAAGAAGGTGCGAATGTGGAGTGTTGATGACCAAATGATGTTACGGTCGTGGTTTTTTTTTTCCGGCAAATTTAGCGGGGAAACTGAATTGGTGCCTAGATCACGTGACGTCCATTTTTCCGCTATATTTAGCGGGGAACCTAAATTTGTCAATAGGTCCCGTGACGTCTGGTTACGTGATATCAATTTTCCCGCCAAATTTAGCGGGGAAACTACTAAATTGGTAGGTAGGTCACGTGACGCAAATTTTTCCGCAAAATTTAGGGGCGAACCTGAATTTTTCTGTAGGTACCGTGACATCAAAATTAGAGAGTTTTAGAATAACGTGAAGACCCCTTGGCGTCAGCACTGCGTACGACGCACGCAAGCTGTCGACGCAACATTACGGAGCGCGTTGAATGCGTACTTTTAGTATAGCGGAAGGCAAACACATACGTAATAAGGCCTTAATACGTAAAGACTTGCAGCGCCATCTACATGTGCTCCTCCGCACTGCTTCAAACAATCCAAGGCGGGTATTCGGTTAAGCCATTCCAACACCGCGAATTTCCTCGTTTTGCTACGAAGTGCGTGAATCTCTTTCTAGTTGCCTGTTGTGAACGTGTTTTGGCTTCTTTTTTTTAGGACTGTGCGACCAGCAGTTCGATCTATGGTTCGCTCCAGAGTGTTGTGGAATCCTCACTAGCTTATATTGGCCTGGTCATTTGCTCGGAAAAAAGAAGCAATAGGTCGCGACTCGCGCCGCTCGCGTACCGACCGCACTGTAAACAACTTTTTGGGTTCGACGGCGCCGCCAAGGTTCTTGGCTATCGACACCCATCTTTGTGAGTGCTCGAAAGGGTTCGTCGCGTTGATTTCTTTGAGGAGGTTGGGTCGCCTGTCAATTCCGCCCGATCAGGCCGAGTTCCGCTCGCTCTGAGGAAGTCACACGGGGAAGGGCTACCACAGGGAAAAGGTTTAATCTGTACTTAAGTTCAGAGTCCGATGAAGGGTTAAGGCTGGGTTATGGCTGTCTAGTGGTCCGGGTCTTCTGTTGGAGGCCTTGCTCGGCACCGGCTCTTTCGTCTGTCTCCACCTCCGAACTCCGCGTGTCCTCGCCCGTCACGAGCCTCGCCCTTTTCCCTTATTCTTCTTTCTATTTCTTCCACAAGGTTGAGGTCATCTTTAATGATGAAGCGAACCCGTACAACGCGCGTAGCACTTCCACTGGTTTGCTTCGCCGCCGCCATTTTTCAAACTGGAGTAGTCTCGCGCTCTCCCGTGCGCGACGAGAGCAGCGAGAATGGCACCCAGGGGACTGCTAGTACGCTCGCAAAAATCGATAGCGAGCGTAGGTACGCATAGCTCGCTGCAGTGCGTACGTATGGCCCATGCGCAGTGTGGAGGACGCAGCGTTAACGCTAACGTAGGGGGCTTGCGTTTGCTGCTATACGTAATACTAGAGCTCTCTATTTCCCGCAAAATTTAGCGAGGAAACTGAACTTGTGCATAGGTCACGTGACGATAATTTCTCCGCTAAATTTATTGGGAAAATGACGCCACGTGACTTGGTGTCACGTATGAACAAATTCAGTTTCTCCGCTAGATTTAGCGGGAACATTGACGTTACGTGACCTCAACAGCAATTCAATTTCCCGCGAAATTTAGTGGAAAAATTGACCTCACGTGACCTCAACACCAATTCAGTTTTTCCGCTAAATTTAGTGCTGAAATAGGCGTCACATGACTTGGTATTACGTCACCTATGAACAAATTCAGTTTCTCCGCTAGATTTAGCAAGAAAATTGATGTCACGTGATCTCACAGCAATGCAATTCCCTGCTAAATTTAGCGGAGAAATTGACGTCACGTGACTTCAACACCAATTCAGTTTCCCCTCTAAATTTAGCGGGCAAAATAGCGTCCCATGACTTGGTGTCGCGTCACCTATGAACAAATTCAGTTTCACCGCTAGATTTAGGGCCGGTTGCACCAACCCCGCTTAACGCAAAACGGAGCTTAGCCGGGAACCTAAGCTAAGTTTCGGTTTCGTTCGGTTGCACCAAAATCGCTTATCGCTCAACCTAGCACTAAACTACGCTTAAATTAAGCGCTCAACATTGGGCGCTTTGCTTTTGGTTGTTTCTTAATCCTGGATTTAAAACATGGAGGCTGGTTTGTCGCGGTCGACGCGGTGGACGAAATTGGTTGTACAAAGTGTTTTAGACTACATCAGCGTGAAAGTTTCGACGGAATGACCTTCGATTGTGACAAGGATGCAAAATATTGTCGCGTGAAGTGTTTATCTACGCCTCTTTTCAAATCGGCCCTCCACTCTCAGGGCGTGTTAGCCCTAACCGAGATGCGTACGGAGCTGTGGGTCCGTGGGGCTCACGTCTGTCTTCCCGTTGGTTCTTCTGTCAACGAGCTTATTCGTATGTACTTACTAATTTTCGCATAACCGTAAAGTATTGTCATTTACCACCTTGTTTATTTACACTTGCAGCGCGTATCCTTCAATTTGATCAGCGCGTTGAATAGTGGCAGTACATGATCTCGGCGATCAGCTGATTGTGGACACCTCTGCCGTTCGCATTAGATTGCGGCGCTTTTAAGTAATAAAACAACGAAAATTCTATTTCTTTCGTTTTCTGAGTTTTGAGACTATCTTCAATGAATTTTCCTAATCTCGCGAGTAGAATCTTGGCTTCAGAAAACTGTAACTTTTTTGGTGATCGCGAATTTTTAGGAATATTTTGCTTTATATCTTTCATTCGTGGCGACGACAAATCGTAACGACTACTACGTTAGATTCGTTCATTGCTGCATCGGGGCAGGCTGGGGCAGGCGATGCGAAGAGACGACCGTTCTTATCGGCACGATGTGATGTACTAGTGGGAGTTTTTTGTTCTGAACTCGACAGTGTGAAACTTAAGTTCGTTTGAGGTTGCAGCGGATGTTCAACGACAGTACAGTGTAGTTCTGTCACCTTGCTGATAACAACGAGTACCGTCGATACAAGGTCTCGTGACCTGACCTTTCGACGACTTCTATTCGACGATTTCCGGGCATTTTCGCAGCTGCCGTGGCGAGTTCGTCACTGTTTTGAACTTCATCGGTCTCAGGCTTGACTTGATATTAGTAGTCATCTTACCTGCCTACTTATATCGATGCTGTTTTGTCTTCAGCGATGTAGCGAGTAGAGTGTCCTTATCGCGTTCGGTGAGATTCGGGGCCCCCGATGGCTCCTTCACCTCAAACTGTGAGCACGAAAACTACTACCACTGTCAAAATATCCCGTTATCAACCGATATTAAACACACAATCACAGATGTAAAGAGCATTCGTGTTTATTTGAAGCTTTGACTTCTGTTATTGAAAGTTAAACGAAAAAATGGTTGAATTTGGAGACCTTCAATTTGTTACTCACCGAAGAAATACAGCAAAAAGCAGACGCCGACGACAACTACTACAGCAGTTGTTTTTTTTTGACATCACGTGATTCCTCTCCGCCAATCGTATTCGTCCCTCTGAGCGTTCCCTAGTTCGCTCTGTTTGTCCCTAGATTCCCTACGCAAATCCAGCGTTTAGCTAGAGGCGCGTCTGTAAAGCCGGCTTAACGTTGGTGCAACCGGAATTTAAACCCGTGCTTACCTGAGCTCGGTTTAGGGCGCTAAGCCGGCTTAGGAAAGTGCCGCTTTGGGTTAAGGGAAGCGGCGTTGGTGCAACCGGCCCTTAGTGGTAAAATTGGCGTCATGGTACTTAACAGCAATTCAATTGCCTGCTAAATTTAGCGGAGAATTGAATTGTTGGTGAGGTCACGTGGGCATCAATTTTTCAGCAAAATTTAGCGGGGAAGCTGTGGGAGGAGGGGAGGGTACGAAGGAGCAGTATGGGAGGGTACGCAGGAGGACGATGGAAAGGTGCGAAGGAAGAGGAGGGAAAGGAATGGAGGAGGTGGAGGAGAGGAGGGGAGGAGATGGGAAGCAATAAAGGAGGGGAGAACGAGCAGCAGAAGAGTGAGGGAGGAGGACGGGAGGAGGAGAGAGTACGGAGAAGGAGGAGAGGGGGCACACCCTCTCCTCCTCAAGAGTTGTGCTCTAATTTTGCGTTACAGAGATTTGTAAATGTCTTTCATTTTTGTAACTTGCCGATGTTTTGTGGGACAGCGGCAACGATGAACCCGTGCCGTACGACGCGAGGAATTTCGTCTCCCCATCGTGTCTGCCACAGTGCTGGCATGGCTCACATATTCTACACTGCCGCTTTGCGCTCTGCCTTTGTTTTTGTACCAGTAACGCCTACATATGTTTGCGCCGATGGAACGAACTGAAATGCCATACCACACTCGCGGGTATGCAGTGCCAATTTCGTTGAAGGAATCCCTCCAAAGACGTTCCGTCCCCATCGTACGCGTCGATGATATTTCCGGACCAGTATGGCATGCAGTCCGTACTTCGTGAAGAAAGATTCCGACGGTACAAAAAGTTACAAATATGAATGCAAGGGAAGCTATAATGGAACTTGGAATCACTGGACAATCGACGTTTGAGTATAACAGTTGTGGTGTGCTTTCTTTTTTGAGCAGCCTTCTTTCGGACGTTGAAATCGCCTTTCTTCGCTAATGAGTTTGCCGGTAGGCAGTAGGTGACTGCAAAACAAAACGCCGGAATTGTTTTTGATCAGTATTGCGACATAACTAGTACATCTCAATAAAAAAAAAAAAAAATATATATATATATATATTTAAAATTCAAGTAAATCAGTTTCTTCTTCTGAACTTTAAACCAAATATATATATATATATATATATATTTATATATATATTATTTAAATTACTTTACCTAAAAAAGGTAATTTTTTTTCCACGTGTTTTGGAGCACGGGAAATGGATTCTTTAATCTACCCAATCACTGAAAACAGTATAAAAGAAAGATTCGAAGCAAATTTACCTACATCGTAAGGTGGAGATCAATTGGAAACTTATATTCTTAATATAAACCAGATCACACTAGAACAAAAAAAGTACTTGGTTTGTTTGGTTATTGAGAAAGCTTTATTTGCTGTAATACTTCAGCAAAACAAAATAAGAATATTAAGTTTTTTATGAAAATGCCCAGGAAACAGCGCGTTCCGGCCAGATTTTATTCTCAGCTTCGTGCACTTGGTGCCACTGTTGCTAATGCTTCCGTGGCCCGTTCAAAACAAAGTATTGAAAATCTATCAGCCGCACAAAAAAAAAAAAAAAAGAAAAAAAAAGGAAAAGAAAAGGATGTATATATTTTTAAAATCGAAAGAATAAAACAGGGAGGACAAGCACAGGACAACTACTTCCTTTTATTCTTTCGATTTTAATTATTCATGTTCAACTCGCTCGCTTTTACCAGTATATATTCACCGACGTAAAGGTATGGCCTTTGAACTTGAGCACACTTCGCGAATTGCTTAACGAAAGTGACCTTTCCTTTTGGTTTTAAAGTGCGCAAGGTGGTGGTATAATTTCATGAAAAAGCAGGGAAGCTTGTGTAAGACAAACACGTATACATACTGACCGATGTAAGATGAACTTTACATGTACAATTAGATCTGTACGTGCCTGTCTCTCCCAGTCACACCACTTGTTGGTCTATTTGCGTGTGCGGAACGCATTCAAGTTTTCGATTGTTTCCTTCGCATTATGATATGCTTGCATGAGATGACACGTAATTAACGAAAAAAAACAACAGCAACGGAAGATAGATACAAAGCTCACCTCTCCGATTATATCAAAAGGGCATCGTAATTTGCTCGTGTTCAGCGTGCTACACATTTTATTTGCCTGATGTTTTTGTTTTATTTAAAAAAAAAAGCTAAATTACTCGAGTAGCATCAAATTACAAACAAACAATCATAAACTTGTATTTATTGTATTAGGCTTGCGGGAATATTTTTTTTGTAAAAAACGTGTTGTGAAAAATGATCACAGTGAAATTGGTGTGGCTTAAATCACAATTTAAATCGTCTTGATTTTTTTTTTAATCCCCATTGAACTCAATGAATTTGTGGCAGATTAATTTCAGGATTCAAATGCCTCGTCGATTATGTGAAAAAGTGCGATGGTTGCAATTTCTATTATCCGGGAACGTTTCTCGTCGGAAGCCAGGGTGCAGCGTGATACATAGACGATGTAAATTTTATTTTCTGGGCATGTAAGAAGTGGATAACAGCTAGATGTATTTCTTAGATCTGCCCCAGCTCTCATGCAACGACAGCCTCAACATGTCGGCTGGAAAAGCCGAAGTACCACCCGTGCGCGTTTCTGTCGCCACAGCTTCGAACGCGAAAAGGCGCTGTATGTTGCTGAACGCGTCTCACTGTCGAACGCCAGCACCTCCGCTAGCAGCGCTACGCCCGTTTTTTAGAGCGCCCCCTATAGTTCCCGCACAGAGTGTATAGTCTCCATGATGTCATGGAGACACTGCTATGCACCTTATAGATCGACACTGACGGAGGGTCTGCTATGCACCTCTATAGATCGACACTGACGGAGGGTATGTACGTAGACTGACGTTAAAGAATATCAAACTTCTTGATGTCGTCAGCCTCAAACCTCTGGAAACTGCAGCAACGTTTCAGGGGATCACGAATTCTCGCAAAGTGAAATTCGTGTTTTCAGCACCATAAGTAACGAGAAAAAGAAAGGACTTACCTGTATATTTTCAATAACAGCGCGCCGTAGAGGACGATGAATCCTATCTCGCGAAACCAAGGTTCTATTAAACACGTCGTAGTTGTCGGTTCGAAATACCGTATTATGATCTGAAATACAAAAAGAGAAAGAACAATTTCATCGTCAACCGCACTGCAGACACTTATATAAACTGTATTGGTTTCTAGGGCCATTCTCTTCCCGGTTATTAGCATACTGTTTACGACTTTGAGTATGCCCAAATATTACAGAAATGAACACGTATACCCTCCGTAGTATTTACACAATTCGGATTTAGTAGTCACTTGGAGAAAATGACAATTAAAACTAATTATTCATTTTAACTTTAAATAATACATATCATTATCGTATTGCTTACCATAGATTTGACCCTATTAAGACATAATAAAGTATTTTAATGGGGCACACAAGGAAGCGAGCTTTTTTGTACAATTTAAACACTCAAAATGTGTTCGTGGTATGGTTGAGTAGGCATTGACGACGGCTTGATAGAGGCCAAGATTTCACAGAAATATGAAAACGCTACTTTGGCCAAGTGGATTGATTTATTGATTGAAAATATGTTTTAATCCTCACCAAGCAGAGACAACAGCACTGTGCGTTCAAACATAGCCTCCTCTCCACAATAAACCTGAGACGAAGGAAAAATAAAAAAACGGACTTTGTTGTACTGTCCGTTTTTTTATTTTTCCTTCGTCTCAGGTTTATTATGGATACCATTCACCAGCTCGCCTGTGTTTTTTACCTTTCTTCACAACATAGCCTCCTCTATACGGAGCAAGCCTGGCGCGTCGCGAAAAAAGACGGCCGCCGAAAATGGGAAAGGAGGGGCGGGGAAACGGGAGCGGAGGGAAGATTAAGGCCCCTGGGGAAGATTACAGAGCCGTATATGGGGAGAGTTTGGTCAGTCTATGATCTCACCGCCGTATCGCGCTACTCCCAAGTGAGCCAATCAGCCCGCGGCGTAGAGCGAGAGGCATGAGCGCATGCGCGTGAACTCCCGGCTGCTCCCACCTGAGTGGGGAGGGCCGCCATCTTCGATCATTCTCCCGGCGGAATGCGTGGGACCGGCAACTAAATCTCGATTATTGCCTTTTATATCGCTGGCTCTGGCAAGAAAATGACATTCTGTTATTCCTCGGTGGGTTAAAAAGCTAATAAATTAAGATTTTTCGGCGTATGGCCACAAACTTTTATTCAGGCGAGAAAGTCGGCCCGTAGCAGACGACGCGTAGCCTCATCAGTGCTCTTCTCCGACCAGTCTCCTACAGCGTTGCTAAAAAATGGCGGTCGTCTGCTCTCTGCTCCCTTCTTTCTCTCTCGCTCCTTCGGCGCTCTCCTCCCTTTTATTTACTTTTCTCCTCTCCGGCGCCTTCGTCGCCACACCCACTGACCAAACTCTCCCAATATACGGCTCTGGGGAAGATTGCCTCGTAGCGCCACACAAGAGCAAGTGGCCAAACGCAGAAACATTTTTTTTCCTCTCTTCTTTTCGGTATCGTGGGGAGGAGAAACTGAACGTCAACCCGTTCCCGTTTCTCCCTGCGCCCGCATCTCCGCAACGGTCCTTGAACGCGAAACCGACGATCGCGCCGTCGGTTTCGTTTAGTCAAAACTGCATGGTTCTTCCGCGGCACGATACGATGGATCGACGACGACGCACTCCGGTGGCGCGCCGACAACTCCGCTGACGCCACCGGCCATGGCGCATTGTTGCCAGAGCCCTTTCGAATCGCCGCGGCCGTTTCTCCCGGAGTACGAAAACGACGGTGACGAAAACACGAAAAAAAAAAACCTGGTTCGGGGAGCGGCCGCTCATGACCCAAGCGCTCGCACACTATCTTTGCCCTTTCTGCTCTGCGCTACCATATTGGTCACCGTTCGGCGCGCTCCTCCTCTCGTTTTTCCTGCGGCCGCGCGCCCTATAGCTCCGTCGTCGATGTGCCAGGCTTTCTCCGCATAGGGGAGGCTATGGTTCAGACATCACCCAGACAGATATTGTCATTTTCTATTATAAAGTTTTAAAGGCAGTAATTGACCAAGCACGTACTTATCACCAATTTCCGCGAAACTCTGAGAATAGCCCGTGTCCCGGATTGTACAAGTTACAAATCAACAGTAATGTCAACAACAAAACGGCGAAGTACATTTTTGAAGCCTGCAACGATGTTGGGAACCTACGAGTGAAAAGTGCCTAGCAACTTTCGCGGTTCGACTTTGTAATTAAAAAATAAAAGCCGTTTATAACAACTCCCTGTAACGTCGGAGCTCTTGAGGAGGAGGAGGGAAGGGTACTGAGGGGTAGGTATACCCCTCCTCCCTCCTCCTCACGTCCTCATCCTGTCTGCGACTCCTCCTTCCGAGCGGCGTCGCCGTCACCTCACGAGGGTCACGTGACCTCACGGGGATCATATGACGTCACTGGGGTCACGTGACCTCACGGGGGTCACGTGACGATGACGATGCGAATGCCGGTGACGTCATCAGTGACGATAACGATGACGATGCGGATACCGATGACGTCATCAGTGACGGCACTGAGGACGTCATCAGTGACGATAACGATGACGATGCGGATACCGATGACGTCATCAGTGACGATGAGAATGCGAATGCCGATGACGTCAACAGTGACGATGACAATGCGGATGCCGATGACGTCATCAGTGACGTCACGCGACCTATAATGCACCGCGCGGTTACGCCGACGGTGACGCCGACGCCGCTCAAGCCGGAAACGGGCGCCTAAGAGCTGCGCTCTAAAACAAATATGTATATATATATATATATTTTTATATTTTTTATTACCTGAGGCAGAATTTAACCGAGTTATGGTAAAGACGCGGCCTATCTGGTTTGAAGCAGGCATCGCGAAATATATTATTGGCTGGTGTTTTCCTTGTACCCTTTCCATTCCTTTGCTTTTCTTTCTCGCTGTCTCGCTTTTTCTTTCAAATTTGGTAACACAGAGCAACCCCACGAGCGCGAAAAAAACAAACAAAAAACACGGTCGTCAACGCCACTGCAGATTCACCTCTCCAGGGAGTCGGCACAAGGAGCAGCCATCCGGCAGCCAGGGCGCACCTGACATTTCCTGGCGAGAGAAGCGCACTCGAACTCATGCGCGAGGCAACAGCCACGGACGACACGCGGCAGCGCCGGCGCCACTTGTCATCGCAAACTCAATTTGCGCAGAGCGTGCTTCGAAATTAGTTGTCGACTCTCCGAAGCGCGCAGTAGGCCGAGCCGTCCTCCTTCTCTCGGCTTCCAGGATCCCTCCCCCGCCGATGCCTCCCGCCATGCGCCCGCACAAGGCGACGGCTGAGCTGCGCTGGAGGGGTGAATAGCGGGTGGGGGGAACGCTCGATTGGAAATTCTTCCCGTTACTGCCTTGATTAAACCGAGCGTCTGTCGCAGCGTGAAAGCAGCCGGTGAAGTGGCGCTCGCGTGTCAAACAGCCTCCACGCCTTTCCCGAACGCGCGCGCTTCGTATGCGTCGTTGTTGATATGCAGCGCACGCGTCTCGCGTCGGAGACCCGAAAATGGGATGGTGAGGAACAGTGGTAGATTTGTATTAGCGCCGAGCCGACATGTTTCGGTGGCGCCTTCTTATGGTTCCTATCTGTGACATATCGCGACCAGGATTTGCCACGCCGTGACGTTACGAGTTGTAATCCTGCAGCTACTTATAATCGATTGCGAAGGACAAGTTCGACGAAGTGTGTAAAACACACGGTGGAATCTTGGAGTTTCCGCTCTCTAAACGTCTGACTTCCCGTATATTTCCGTCGATGAAAGCAAGATTAATCCCAATAAAGACGTCATAGAGAGTGTTTGTCCAATCACGGAAGGCTGACAACAGCGACGCGTTTGGCCACGCACGCCGTCAATGGGGACTATTGAAAGGCCGTTACAGCTGCTTTTACCAGACTCGTTTCACAACGTCACGGCTGTGGACATTGGCGGACGGTAAGTTGTCTTACACACAGTTAACGATAATGATGACACCTGAACATCCTTCTACTAAGAGGCTGAGAAACTGAGGGAGAAGAGGAGACGAGAGCGTGCGGACATTTCAGAACGCAGAACTCCGATCTGAATGATTAGGGACAGACCTGAAACTAGCTGCCCTTGTCTCCACTGCACTTGTCGAACGCGTTCGAATCGGAGAGTCAAATGCCGGAAGCCGGCGTTCCGCGCTCTAACGCGTTCGACGAGTGCAGTGTAGACAAACGCAGCTAGCTTTAGGTCGACCCTCTAATCATTCTGACCAGAGCCCAGCGTTCTGACGGTGTCGCACGCTCTCTCCTCCTCTCCCTCAGTTTCTCAGCGCATAGGCCTTCTGCGTTGCCCAGGAGGCGCTGCGAAGAGGAAGTCGTTAGGACTTGTTTTGGGTACGTAGTACAAGCTTGAGCGTCTCAATCTGTCACACGTGTGTTTAGAAGCGCGCCTGATCTGGAACGCGAGATTACGAGCAAAGTACAAAAAAAAAAACAAAATTCGAACGCCATCGAAGCACGGGTTAAAGCTAAGATCAATTTTTTGCGAAGAGGTTACCGCTCATTCACACTGGAAGCGGATCCGCGTTCGCAAAGCAGTTGCGAACGCGGTTGTATAAAGATCCAGTACAATTGCACGCGCACTTGATGTCATCGAGTGCGCGTGCAATTTCACTGGATCTTTATACAACCGCGTTCGCAACCGCTTTGCGAACGCGGATCCGCTTCCAGTGTGAATGAGCGGTTAGTGTGAATAAGCGGTAAACAGCGTGAGCCAAGAGACTTAATCTGGCACTGTCGATTGTCTTGCGGCGTGGAATCTAGTCGACTCGGACGTCGAAAGGTGCTTTTCCGTTCTGCAGCACTACACAGAAAGATAAAAACTCAGCGAAAGTGCCATAAGTGGTGCACGAGGCCCTGTCAGGTGAGCATGTACTACCCAAAATGAGGTTAGTTCAGAGCTTCAGTGCAGGAGGCCACTAGTCTCTGGCCGGTCGCTGGAAAACAACCGGGAGAGAGGAGGAAACGAGAGCGCGCGGGAACGCCAAAAACGCCGAGTACTCACTGGAATCATCAAAAAAGGCAAAGCT